TTAATGAAAGATGAGTATTGAATCCTGTCATTTTTATTTCTGTTTACATTCTTGATATAGCTGTACTTTCCCACAGTTATACCTTCATTGAATTTCTTTCCACAACCACTTGGGTAGTCATTCCTTTCTTCAGCTCTTTGTATTGCTTCCAGAACTCTCTGTAGGGCTGGTTTTGTGGACATGAATTCCTTTAGCCTATTTATGCCATGGAAGATTTTTCTTTCCCTTTTGACTATAATAGACATTTTGGCTGGTATAGTAATCTGGGTTGGCATCTGTGTTCATTTAAAACTGGGAATACTACCGGGCGTGGTGGTGCATGCCTTTAATCCTGGCCCTTGGGAGGCAGAGGCAGGCAGATCTCTGTGAGTTCAAGGCCAGCCTGGTCTACATAGTGAGTTCCAGGACTGCTGGGGCTACAGGGAGACCCTGTCTCCAAAAGACCAAAACAAAACAAAACAAAACAAAAAAACTGGGACTACTTTGGTCCAGGTTCTTCTGGCTTTCATAGTTTGCACTGAAAAGTCAGCTGTAATCCTGATGGGGTTTCCTTTATATGTGACTTGTTTCTCTTTTTCAACTTTCAGAATTGTCTCTTTGTTTTGTAAGTGTAGTGATTTTACTATGATGTGCTGTGGAGAGTTTCTTTTCTGGTCCTGTCTGTTTGGTGTTCTATATGCTTCTTGTATTTGTATGGGCAAATCTTTCTTTCATTTTGGGAAATTTTCTTCCACGATTCTGTTGAAGATCTGGTCCATGCCATTATCTTGGGATCCTTCTCCTTCCTGTATGCCTATGATTTGTAAATTTGGTCTTTTTATGGTGTCACACAATTCCTGCATATTTCATTCTTGTGATTTCTTCAATTTTTCATAGTCTTTTCTTGTGTGGTCTAGTTTGTCCACTTTGTCTTCCAATCTTGATACTGTTTCCCATTTCATTCATCCTATTGGTGAGGCTTTCTCCTGTCATTTCTAATTGTCTTATGGAGTGTTTCACTTCGTTCTTTATTTCAGCCTGAGTATTCTCCAATATTTCTAGCTCTTTTCTGAATTCATTCAGAAGTTTATCCCTATCTTCCTTCAGCTCTATGATTACCTTGTTTGTGTGTTCTTTAAATTCACTGAAATCTTTTATCATGTATATAATTGTTCTTTTGAGTTCCATGTCCTGCATTATCTCTTTGGGGTTCTCTGTTATTTTGATTTTTCATGTTATTATTTTTTCTCTGTGATTTTGACATGTGGATTTCTTTTGTAGTTTCTGATTCTTTTGTGAGACCCAAGCCTTCAAGTTTAGGTCTGCTTCTTTTTATAAACTTTATGTGCCTTTGTGGTTTACTTTTGGGGCATGAAAAGCTATTCCTCTAAGCTTCTGGTTCTCTCTTTTGATTTTATATTGGACTAGCCAGATTGCTTTTGGCTTCAGGAGTTCCCACAGAGGCCCAAGTCAGATGAGGATAGATGCTCTCAGGCTTTCTCCTAAGGTCTGGATCCCTCCAGGAAAGATTTTGGCCTCAGGAATTTGGGGGTTGGACTGGCCTGGGAGCAGGGCCCAGGAAAGGTGCTAGTCTCAGGTATCAGGTGGCTATGCCACCCAGAGATGCAAAGGGAGATGGGGGTGGGAGGAGGCCCCAAGGGTTCCTGGGGACTGCCCTGAGGAACTGTGTTGGTCTGGATGCAATGGATCAGGAAGTGGAAAGGTCAGCCCCTGTCCAGGAAAGAGGCTGTTGGGTTGTGCAGCTCAGCGAAGCAGAGGAAGATGAGGGCAAGATCTGGCCAGAGGGGTTCTGGGGATCCAGAGAAGGAACTGGGTTTGTCTGGATGCAAAGGATCAGGAAGCAGTGGTGGTTCTCCTGGTGTCTGGGGTGCCAAGACAAGGAATGGGACAGGATCCAGGCTAGGAGGAGAGATGGGTTTGGGAGATGGGAGGGTGAATGAGGCTGAGAGAGCCAAGGTTCTGAGGGCCCCCAATCGACTTACCCATGAGAGAGGCCAGAGAGGCTGGCGGGTCCTGCAGGCCCAGGGAAGCAGAGCAGCTTTAAGTTTTTCTAAACATTAATTTTCCTCATTTTCACTGGGGAGTGGGTCACACTTGCTCTGCACACTGTTATGCTGAAAGTCAGTCACTGAGAGGTTTTTAAAATTCGTTAGCATTACATGGGAAGATTTTAGCAGCATAGGCAGACATGTATGTTTTTATGGTAGAGAGACAATGTTGCCAGTCAAATGTACATTGTCACAAGTGTATTGTGGCAGTTGACGTCTACCTAGGAGTCAAGAAAGCTGTCTCAAGAACTAAACCAACATGTTAGGTAACTGAACGCTTTGTCTGAGTTCTCAAAAAATTTTCAACACCTAAGTTTACTCTGTCCATCACCCCCCCCATACACACAATAAAAGAAACTCCTTTCTCTTAGATGATAGCTGCCTGTATACTCTAGGCAAGTCACTTGTGTTTATTTTGCCTGATTTTCCCCTCAGGTCACTTCAAGAACATATATTTGACATGATTCAACAATGGCTTTTGAAACTAGATAATGAAATCAACACTGGTGGCATTGAACTTTTTCACCATGTATGTATATATGGGGCTTTTCGAAGTTACACTTTGCCTTAGTTGGGAGTTTTCTTTAAGGAAAAACAAGACCCTACTTGTCCAATTGAAGCAGACAGTTGGAAGAGCCAAATGGAAGCTTATATAGTAATTACTTAAGCTGTTTTTAATGGAAAATGAAAAGGTGTAGAATGTCACGGTAGGACTCATTATTTGTGGAATGAAGCTAGAAAGAACAGTCTAGCATTGTTACTATCTTATGATATTGCTACAGTAAGCCTTTCTTTGGCAAAATGCCCAAATTTAATTACTTATTGATATCCACAGAATCATATGCTCATTTTCTTTTGTATTCTAGAATTCATCCTTAGTAATATAGGATCAATTGGAAGTTTATTTATTTTTTGAGACAGGATCTCCCTGAATCCCTGGTTGGCCTGGAATTTGCTGGCTGTTCTCAATCTCACAGAAATCTGCTTCTGCCTCCTGAGTGGGACTAAAAGTGTGTGCTACCATGCCAGGCTTGGAAATACCTTTATATACCTCTTTATTAACACTATGTTCTTACAGTATAATTAGTCCATGTAGAAAACTTGAAAGACTGGAAAATCCTCTAGGAACTATGTGTATACATATTAACTGATATGACTATTTGAAACCGGAAGAGTTTTCTTTTTTTCACCAACTATGCATTTTGCTTTCTGATCGATTTTTCTACCACCGTTTTTTTTGTTGTTGTTGTTTCTGTGCTAGATAGCTTCAGTTGTCAACATGACACCTCGGAAAAGGGACCCTCAGTTGGGGAATTGCTTCTATCTGATAAGCCTGTGGGCATGTCTGTGAGACATTTTCTTCATTGTTGAGTGATATGGGAGGGCCCAGCTCACTGTGGGTGGTATCACCCCTGGGCAGGTGGTCTCTGACTGTGAAAGAAAGAAGGCCAGTATAGACTAGAGGAGCAAGCCAGTAAGCAGCATTCCTTTGTGGCCTGTGCTTCCGTTTCCTGCCTTGAGTTCCTTTCTTGGCTTCTGTTGATGATGGGCTGTAAGCTATAAGTCAAATAAACACTTTCCTCCCCAAGTTGGTTTTTGGTCAGAGTGGTTTATCACAGTAACAGGAGCCGAACTAGGACAGTTGCTATTTTTCCTTTGCCTCCTTATCCCATTTACTCTGTGCTTCTTGGCTCTCTGCAACACTGACCTCTGAACAGTACTTTTCATGTGTGTGTGTCAGTGTGCATGTATGTCCTCATGTATATGGGCATTAGTGTATGTGTGTGCATGTGGAATCCACAGGTTGATGTTGGGTGTCTTCCTTGGTTGCTCTCCATTCTGTTAACAGAGGTGGGGCTACTTGCTGAACCTGGAGCTCACTGATTAACTAGCCAGCTTGTCCTGGAGCTTCCTGTTTCTGCCTCCTGAGCATTGGGATTATAGGCAGGCCACCATGCCCACTATTTTCGCTTGGCTTCTGAACACTGGGCCTCACACTTTTGCATTATGTGCTTTATCTACCGAGCCATCTCCCTAGATCCCTCTAAACATTTTTTATAATTTTTTATTAAGCTTTTTAAATTTCATACATTTCCCACTCAAATCCAGGCCCCCTCCTCCATCCATGCCTCCCCCATCCCCCTACCGAACTCTATGCACTCTGTCATACATGCTGAGTCCTATTCATTCCAGTGTTTGTACCCAAATGCCCTACAGTGTAAATGCATCCACTGGCATCTAGTCAGCCCATCCAGTGGTCATATGTAAGTCATACTTTCCCTCACTCAGCAGCAATCAGTCTCAAATAGTTCTTTATCTAGTGCTGGCCTGCCACCTATTTCTTACCTCCCCTTTGGGCCCTTGTTTAGTTGAGCTGACATGGGTCCCAAGCTCGATGCCACAACTGCCACAGGGTCTCATGAGCAAACCTCCATTGGCCTGGAAGCCTCCACCTCCCTGTGTTCATGAACCAACCCTGGCTTTTACAATCTTTCTGCCTCCTCTTCTGCAATGTCCCTGAGCCATGGGTGGGTGGGGTTCCATATAGGAGTCCCATCCTACACTCTACAGTCTCTTATTCTCCAAACTTGGCCAGTGTGGCCTTCTGTGTGTACTGTACTCTGATATACATGGAAGCTTCACTGGTGAGAGTTGAGGGGTGTATTTTTTTGAGACAGCCATACTCTACAGTGCTTAGAACTCACTATGTAGACCAGGCTGGCCTTGAACTCACAGAGATTCACCTACCTTGGTCTCCTGAATGCTGGGATTAAAGGCATGTATCACCATACCTGGACTTCCTGTAAGCATTTTTTATCATATAATTCTATTAGCCAAAAAAACCCTTGAGTAAGTTCTGTTTTACGGTTTCTAATTCACACATAATACTTACTCTACTGATATGTTTTATATGTTTTAAAACCTATATAAAAGTCAAAAGAGATTTTTAAAACCCAATATTGTAAAAGAATTTTGTAATGATTCAAAAAACATGTGATTGAACTAGCATGTGGTTACTAGCTGTACCATACTTCTTAAATATTTATGATTACAAGTTTGTATTTAGTGATAAAGCCTCTTGGAGGTCTGCTTCCAAGTGCTTTGATACCTTTTTACTGAAATGACAGCTCACACAGAAACAAAGTGAAAGGCATCATTGGCTGTATTTGTTACATGATAGCACTCATTTTAAATTCTATTAATTATACAATGAGTTCTCCTTTTTTTTTTTTGTCTTTTTGAAGCAGGGTCTCCCTGTAGCCCCAGCTGTCCTGGAACTCACTATGTAGACCAGGCTGGCCTTGAACTCACAGAGATCCTCCTGCCTCCCAAGTGCTGGGACTACAGGTATGTGCCACCATGCCCGGCTCTACAATGAGTTCTTTTTAATTGACTAGTAAAATTTTTCCTCTATAATGGTGTCAGTTTTTCAGTAGACAGTATAGCATTTCTGTATTTTAAGAAAGGTTCTCAGTTAATTGGATCTTTTTTTTTATTTGTAAGGTTTTATAGTAGATTAGAAATTTCAAGTTTTAGGCATATAGGTTTGAGACTTTTAAAAAGAAATGCTGAAGCAGGAGGGTTATCATCAGTTTGAGGCCAGCCTATGTTACATAGTGCGTTCCAAGCCAGCCTGGGCTATAGAGTTAGACCCTGTCTCAACACACAGGCACCCACAAACACACACACACACACACACACACACACACACACACACACACAGAGCAACCAACTCATACCAAGATGGAATGAAATTCAACTATAGATTTTTAAATTTTTTTAAAAATTATTTTTATTTTATGTGTATGAGTGTATTGCCTGCATGGATGTAAGTGCACCTGTGTTGTACAATACCTGGGGAGATCAGAAAAGGGCATTGGAACCCCTGGAACTGGAGTTATGGATGGTTGCTAGCTGCCATATGAGTGGTAGGAACCCAACCAGGGTCTTCTGTAAGAGCAGCCAGTGCTCTTAACTACTGAACCATCTCTCTGGCCCCTCAACCTTGAGATTTTCAGAATGATCTCTCCAGAGCATGCTTCTTTTACTCATTACTACACTACACCCCCACCCCCCCACACACAGAGTTTTTGTTTTGTCTTTATGCTGGGGATTAAACTAGGACCTTGTGCATGCTAAGTGACTACCACTGGGCTGTACACCAAGCTCTCATATTCCAAAAGGCAAATTAAGTGTGCTTTTATAAATTATTTATGGGCTAGAGAAATGGTTCAGCAATTAAGAGCACTGGCTGTTCTTGCAGAGGACCCAGGTTTGATTCCCAGCACCCACATGGTGGCTAACAACCATTTGTAACTCCAGTTCCAGGGAATCTGACTCCCTCTTCTGATTCCATGGGCATTGCACAACACAGGTGCACTTACACACATGCAGACGACACACTCATGCACATAAAATAAAAATATTAAATGAAATAATTTTTAGGTATTTATTTAGGGACTGGAGAGATGGCTCAATGGTTAAGAGAACTGACTGCTCTTATAGAGGACCCGGGTTCAATTTCCCAGCACCTACATGGCAGCTAGCAACCATCTATAAGTCAAGTTCCAGGGGATCCAACGCCTTCTTCTGACCTCCAACAGCATTGCATGACGTGGGTGCACTTACACATATACAGGCAATTTACTCATACACATAAAATAAAAATAATAAAAAACTTAAAAATATTTATTATGGGTCTGGAGAGATGGCTCAGCAGTTAAGAACACTGAATATTCTTGCAGAAGACCTGGGTTCAGATCCCAGCACCCACATGGCAGCTAACAACTCTCCGTAACTCCAGTTCTAGGGGATCCAATGCCCTCTCTGACCTCCGCAGGCATTGCAGGACACAGGTGCACTTCCATACATACAGGCACTACACACATACACATAAAATAAAAATAATAAATATTTTAAAAATATATTTATTATTTATTTTTGTGATGGGGGTCTTGCTACATAGCCCAGGCTGGCCTTGAACTCACTGTGTAGCCCAGGCTGACTTCTAACTCCTGATCCTCCTGCTTTAGTTTTCTGAGTGATGTTGTTACAGGTGTACCCTATTACATCCTGCTTTATTTTTTTAAAAAAAATAAGATAAGAAGTTATTAAGTAGCCTCTTGTTGTCCCTGAAGAGACTTATAAAACTGGGGCAAATCTCTTCATGAAAGAAAAACACTTAATTCATGTTAACTTTTGTTTTGAGAACTTTCTATCAGAATCATAATCAATCTGTTTGAGTATAAATATGATCATATTCATTTTGTATCTTGTTAACTATTAGAATCATAATCTGTTTGAGTATAAATATGATCATATTCATTTTGTATCTTGTTAAAAATTGTGATTATCTTTATGGAAGTAAGTGATAATCTTCCGTGTTTTGTGTTAATTGGTTTTCATTTTAAATTCAACTATGATTAGTCGCATGACCTTGAGTCTACCACTTAATCGCTCTAATATAACTTTGAAATGAAGATCATAGCATCTATTTATGTCCATTCCATAGAGAGGTTCAGGGATGCA